ATTGAAGTTTGCATCAGCGTATTCGGTCTCCTCTGCTGGAGCGGTGACCACCGGAGGAAAATTATTTCCAACCAAGGGAATGCACATTTTTATTAACTACTCCATCATAGGGTAAAGTAATTTACAGTCAAAACCCGGTGGATTAATTAGTGTCCTAAGTGTTAATTGCCATCCTTCCAGTGGAGTAATTAGTGGCTTCAGTGTTAATTATTATCCCCGGTGGAACAATTAGTTACTATCCCTCCAGTGGAGTAATTATTTTTATGATTGTTAACTACCATCCATCCAGAGGAGTAATATGTGGTCTGAGTGTTAGTTACCATCCCTCCGGTGGATTAATTAGTGTCCTAAGTATTAATTGCCATCCCTCCAGTGGAGCAATACGTGGTCTGAGTGTTAGTTACCATCCCTCTCTGGTGGAGTAATTAGTGCAGTGCCCTGAGTGCTTATTACCATCCCTCCAATAGAGTAATTAGTGTCTTGAGTGTTAATTACCATTCCTCCAATAGAGTATATTAGTGTCCTGAGTATTAATTACTCCCCCCCGTGGAATAATTAATGTTTGAGTATTAATTATCATCCCTCCTGTGGGGTAATTAGTGTCCTGAGTGTTAAGTACAATCACTCTTAAGTCCTACGGAGTAATTAGTGTCCTGAGTGTTAATTACCATTCCTCCAATAGAGTATATTAGTGTCGTAATTAGTGTTTGAGTGTTAAAATTCATCTCTCCGGTGTAGTAATTAGTGTCCTGAGTGTTGATTACAATCCCTCCTACAGAGTAATTAGTGTCTTGAGTGTTAATTACCATCCCACCGCGCGGTGGAGTAATTAGTGTGCTAGCCTGAGTGTAAAATACCCTCTGGTGGGCTCTGCTCCAACGGAGGTGACCCAATATGCTTCAGCAAACTTTAATCTCTCCATGTGACCAAGGAAGTACATTGACAGGATTTCGTTGTAGGGTGAATTTTGAGTACAAATAGAGAGGAAATTGAGAACTTTTTTCAAAAAATATTCTATCAACATCATATGTATGTTTTATATCGAAAAGAAATTAATACCAGTTTCAGTACATTTGTACGCACTTTTATACAGTCTCAATATGCTTCTTCCTTTTTACCTTTTCATGGCTGACTTCGAGACTTGTACTGTAGGGTACACATGTCAAATCAAAAATAGGATAATAGCGCAATGTCTGGAATTAAAAACGTCAATTATTTCCTAGTCCCGTAGCAAAAATTAAATTTTTTCTCAAAAATGAATAAAAGAAAAAATCTTAATTGTAAAATCAAGCATTTACTAATTTTTAAAATTCTAAAGGGGAGATTTTGGCCATCAATGAAAAACTTAAATCCTTATTAGACACCCTTGACTTACTATTTCTATTTAAAATCCAAATGAAACGTTTTATTTAAAGTACAACTACAGTCAAGGAAAATAAAAGTTTGAAAAATGCACAGGCCAAAAAGGCACCACGGGGTTTTTTTACCATGAAGTTAATAGCATGACTGATAATGTACACAGTCACAATATGGTTTCATAAAATTTATTTTCAGACTAAATTCAAAATTAAAACTTCTGTTGTTAAAAAGTATTTGATTTTAAAGTTCGAGTACAATATTAATGAAAACGTAGAAAAAATATTATAGAAAAGAATCCAAAAAATCAATTTCTTTAACTTTTTTTATTAATCAGAAAGTATGTCCTGCACTATTGTCTAAAGTTTTATCGCCCTGTATACTGCTATTGACCCAATTTATTGTGACTCATTAAGTTTCAAATGGTTGTATAGTGTCTATAGAGGCTCAACAAGAAAAGAAAAAGAAGTGAATATAGTAAATATTTATATTAAAATAAACATTTTTCTTGTTCAGTCTTCTACTTTACTCTTAAGAAAAGGGTGTTAGTAAGATAAAATAATTTTTTGTCCGTAAATAAAAGAAAGATGTAATTTTCTACTTTATATTGTACAATAAAAGACCAGTCAGCTAAGTATTTCATTCCAACTTAAAAAAATACAGAATATTATTGGCAAATTTGAAAGGCCGGCAAAAATTTGAAATAATTGAAATGAACCAAGCACAAAAGTGCTATTTCTAAATTTTCCTGAGCAAAACATATCTCAGATTAATTGTTAAAGTTTAACAATTTATATAGATAAAATTCTTTTTAGATTTACACAACTAAGCAAAATATGATGGAAGAAGAGTTTTTATTATAATTTTTCCATGTGCTCTGGTTTCTTTTCTAATTCATAATAATAAGCGTCTTAAATATAATTAGGCATTAATTAACACAAATTTTCTTTTACATCAGGAATATCGTTGTTCATTGTTCAACCAATAACAAAAGAATTAATGGATTTGTTCTAAAATTTAGGTCAATTTTTTATTTTCGAAAAGAAAGTTGAGAACATTTATAAAATAAACTGGAAAAGGAATTTATACATCGGTTCGACAACCAAAAACAAATTAGGATGAACTTGCTTATTTTCCGTTGAGTACCTCAGGGAAATTAGAATTTAATCCAAGGAACCATTAAGCTTCACTCACAATGATAGTTAATTATTTTAGTAAATTTTTTTAGATTCACACTCCCAATTGACAGAAGGAGATTTTTCCTCTTCTCAATAACTCTTTAACTAAGAGATTTATAATATGCTAGGTTTTTAGGGCGCTTCGATCCTATCTTCTTGTTCAATTGTAAATATTTCATCTTTGTATACATTGCAAAACAAGAACAAAAAAAAAGTTCGCGATTTTTATTAAAAAAAAGTTTAGGATTTTCAAAATTCAATGCAAATCAAATTTTGTTGGAGGCTAATTTTTGAAATTTTGATCACCCATAAACCTTCCCTGGGGTAATGTAAGGGCTCACAAAAAAATTGGGGTCGATCGGTTCAGCCGTTTTGGCGTTAATTGGATACAAACAAACAAACAAAAAGACAATTCTATAGTTGGTTGTACAATTGGAGTACATGACCAAGATGAATCTATGTGACAGACAGACAAGAAAAGTATATATATAGAAGATTTTAATCTAGTGTAAACTTTAATCATGGAATAAAAGCATAGTGAATAGAATATATATTAGAGGGGAATTTAAAGAATCTCTTGGTATGAATTTTTTCAGTCCCTTTCAGTCTGAAAGGGAGTTCAAAGTGTACAAATCATGTAAATGTTCACAAATTATATGCAGTAGAGTACATTAATACAGTATGTTCCCTACACTATTCATTTCAATTTCGAAATTTTTAAAGCTGTTAGATAAACTTTATAATGAATTAGGTGAATAAAAACCATCATTTGATTTATAGTTAAAACGGAAAATCATCGTTTGTATAAAGGCATAGAGTCTATGTGAAATGATCATTGGTCAATTATAAAACCAGCCTATTTCATAATTTGGTTTTCTTTAAACATTAATTTTAGATTTTCTATAAAATGATATTCCAGGGCCCAAAAGGTTATATAGCATATTTATGTGAAGTACACCTGCAGTATGGAAACAGTAGAACAAAATGGCCGTTTTACACTTTTTTCTAGTAAATTCCCCTCTAATATATATTCTATTCTCTTTGACTTTAATTTGGTCTTATTGTCCACTTATTAACAACTTCAAATGTATCATTTCTCCAGTACGTTTGATAAGATTAATCTTCTCCTAATTGTATTATCTAGATTTGATATCACATTTTCTACAATATGTTTCTTCTTTTAAGCTTGATCTTATTAGAGGTTAAATCACTATGAAACTTGATGATGACAAAATTGTAATTTTTTTCTCACTATTTTAGAATTTAGTGAATAGAATGAAAAGATTAAACTTTTTAATCCAGCTGATGATACAAAAATTGTATTAATTTTCTTGCAGCTTATTTTTCTAAATCCTTAAATTTACAAATAATAAAATTTAAGAATTTAGTTGTGTGTTCAGAAATAAGGTCTATTTAAAAAGATTAGATTTAATATTTTCAATTAAATCATTTAAGATAATAAAATATAGAATAGAATATTTCAAAAACCTAAAATATACTCTTTTAGATGAATTAAGTACAATTCTTGGGTTCGCTCGGGGTCATCCAAGTTAAGTCGTGTCAACATTTATTGGATACCATCAAACTGACAAGGCAAATAGATATATTGCGATTAAATTTTAAACTGAAACTTGTTTTATGTAGGGTATTGAAAGTATACTTAAAAGCCTTAACTAACATCCTACCGAACATTATATAGTAGTTTTATCCTAACTACCTAACAACTTTACCAAACATTATATAGTATTTTTATCCTAACTACCTAACAACTTTACCAAACATTAAATAGTATTTTTATCCTAACTACCTAACAACTTTACCCTTACCAAACTCACATCTTTTTTCCACAACTAAATCTAACTTCACGTATAAAATCAAAATTGTTTATTTAATGTTTCAAAAAAACTGTTTAATTCAATGCAAGCTCATGATAAAAAGATCTTACTGAAAGAAATTTGGACAGAAAGCATTATTTTTATTATTGTTTAATGTATTCTTTATTTAAAGAAACTAAACACTCTTCCACAAAAATCTAATTTTTTATTCTCTAAATCTTTGCAACCTGATGTTGCAGAACTTTGAGATTCTGTTTGAAGAAACCATGTTTGAAATACCAAAGGTGCTTAACACCAGGTTGTAGAGAAATAGGTATTAGAAAGTTAAAGTTTGTGTTGATTGTGCAATTTTGTTGTTATCTTGTTTAAATCCATATATATGTATGTTGATATGTGTGTTTCTTATTAACAACAACCTTTCTTTCATTCCCAAGTTCCAGCCGAGATCAATTTTATAATATCTAATTCGACGAATGTTTTTCTAATGAGCAAATATAAGTGTTTGAATACTTTTAGTTAATTTTGTACCTTTGGTACTTTAGGACCAGACACATGTTAAGAGGGTTAGTAAGGTACATCCAAGCATTCTGACACTTAAAAGTCGACTGTGTGGCTTTCAGATAATTCCTACCTGAAAGGTGTCTAATTGGCTGAAATATATCATCACTGTCTTTTCTAACACCTGGCCCATCTGCTTCTTCATCCTAGAAAATATTGATTGTAAAATTTGTAATATTACAGTATCGTACATTCAGCTATACATGTAGACTAGACTTCAGAGGCCGAATTTAAAGAATTTGAGCGGCGGCTTAAATTTAAACCACGGCTCAAATATGGTTGGTTCCATTTAAAATAGTATTAGGTTTTTCAAGATTTAAGCTGACGCTCAATTGAAACCGGTTTTTAGGTGATTTGGGACGCGGCTTAAATTCATTAAATTCGGACACAGGACACTTCGCGCTCATTTTCTAATATCAAGGTGAGTTTTCAAAAGGAGAGACATGGTAGAGCTGAAAGTGGAGTATTGTAGAGAAAAACGTTAGAATTCATTAGATACCAATAAGACATTTTTAAAGTGTACAATTTTTGAATAAGAGCGTAAAGTCCTTGTAATATTTCTTGGGTTGTTTCATTCCATTCATTCATTTCATAACCCTAAAAAAATGTAAAAAAGCATTTTTTATAGACTAATTTGCTGTTTAGGAACATATTTATTAAAAGAAATTATCGATAAAGCCATAGTAGAAACGACGACTCGATTATTTTATTATCACATTACTTTTGCTGTTTCTTTATTTTTATTCGCTGATTTCTTCAAAATGTCGTCTTCACAGATAAAATAGAGAAAACCTCCAACAAGCGACCCTAGCATGAAAGAATTTGCATAAACTTGCTAGATTTTTAAATAAATTCATATAACTTATTTTCAATGATAAAGGTTTATTTTTTTCTCAACCTGTTTGTATACATGCAACTAGTTTGTAAAATAAATAGTGTTTGTTGCATGTTTTGCCCATGTTACTTAACAATTGTTAAAAAAAAGTTTCTTCTGCTGACTAAAACAACTGGTAAAATATTTCAAACGACTCTACGCTCTTATTTAACAATTGTACACCGTAAAAATGTTTCCTCAGTATCTTAAATGAATCCTAAAGTTTTTCTCTACAAAACTGCACTTTCAGCTCAACCACTATGTCTAGACGATCTCTTCTTTAACTGTTGCTCTTCAAGCTGCCATTTTCTTTTTAAATGATATTTCGCGACAAATTTTTTGTTTAAATTTTTACAGTTTCAAAAATATTAGACTATATTACATTTTTTCCTGGAATTTTTATTTTTAAACATCTATAAACCTTTACTGGAGTCATGTGAGTCATGTTTCGAATCTCTAATTGGATTATGAAATGTAAAAAAAATAGCAAGATTACAGCTGTTGCAATCTCTGTTGGTTCTGAATAATCACCAAGATATTGTAAGCGGTTTGACACAACAGGACAGAATATGATGACAGAGAAGCAACATAGAAGGCCTTAACGCCCCCTTCCCTTTTCTATTAACAGTTAAGATTTTAACTGTTACTCTGAAAGTGGTCATTTTTAATCATTCTCTAACTTTTGCGGATTTTTTCTACATAACTTTTACCTGAGGTATAATCGAGTAGTTCCGAGCCCCTATTACAGGTAGAGTAGTAACACTATTCTTCTAAACAAAGACGACTTGAATTTCCCGCAAAAAAATATATCAAACAATGAAACGTGGCACTGAACGAGCAGTTGTTATTGTTTAAATCGATTTTTTAGCCAAAAAATAACATAAGAGAATAGCTAAAAGGTTTTATTAAAAGTACTGAGAAGTTGCCACAAATCTGATTTTCAAATTCCTATATTTATAAAACTGAATATGTAATTTTTTGACATTTCAAACTATGACTATTGCTGTTATAGCAGAATTCATAGTTTGAAACATCACAGATCTATCTATGCTCTAAAGTTAGATTAACCATGTCAAACCTTTTTTTTCTTAGATTGCTTTTGTAGTTTAGAAGATCGGCGAGGAAGTTTTAGAGTTGGGTAGTAGCAGGGCTTCGCGGGGACCGGGTCTTAAAAAATAAAGATTAGTAAAAAAGATATTTGAGATGAGTTTTTTATTAAAAAACCTGGCCACCTTGTGTTAACCGCACATCTGAAGAATCTGTTGATTTAAAGCTAATTTCACATTAAATATATCTCATCAACTCAGACCGAAATATATTTTCAATAAATGTGGAACTAATATCTACTTTTTTTACTCTACGGAGGTTTGGTCCATCACCATCACCGAATTTAAAATATCTCATATTGTCAGTCTTTTAAATGATTTTTTAATAAAAATGTTTAGATTTTACTCTTGTGTAAATGCAATTAAGTGAAAATTTGAAAATTTGAAAGTCTGGCATTCTTCAAAGATTAAATAAATTCATTTAAACACATTTTAGGAAAACACTGTAAAGTTTTAAAAGAATTTTTTTTTCTCTGAAGCAACATTTTAATAATTTTGTGTTTTTTTAACGTTCTATGTTTGTTGTATTAATGGTGATTTTATTTTGTTAAAGTATTGAAGTTGTTTGTCAAGTTTTGAAATTAATTTATCACTAGAAAAATTATATTGATTGTTTTTTGTTCTCCAGGGGTTTAAAACATTTTAAAATCTGGAGGTAATCTCAAATAAAAAGTAGAGCGTTATTATTATTTATAACCAAGCTAGAGCCGGCCAATCCAAACATTTAGAGAATTGAATTCGATTTCAATTGTTAAAACGTCTTATGCCCAAGAACGTAGTGTCCATATAAATTCACAGAGTTTAAAACGTCGGTATATGTCTCTGCTCTCGCTATTTTAGGGATTACCCTGGGAGAGACACCTAGTGGCCAAAAAATTGTCCTCAAAGTATATAAGGAGAACATGGTTAAAAACTTCTTACACCCAAGAGCACAGTGTCCATTTAAATTGCATTATTCTACTCAGATCTTAAATAATTCAATCAAAGGGTTCCATACAAAGAGTGGGGATTTCTGACTTCGTTATTAGAGAGTTCTCTCTGATTTTTTGCAAGCAAAACAGGCCTGAATTGGGATCTAGGTTTTAAATCAAAAACAAAATGGGGGGGAAAATTTTTTGCGCCTTTTTTGGACAATTTTTTTTAAAAACTTTGTATTAGGTCCAGGTTGGTTGTCAAAAATCACTAACTTCGGGTCAAGACACTCAATTCTGGACTCTAGAGCCTAGAATGAATTTCCCCTTATCCTCATACCATCCCCAACCTTCCAACATTTTCCCCCTCCATAAGGCCTATGAAGCCTTCCAACTATATTACTAGAGATTTCTCTCTTGATTGTTTGCATGCAGGCCTGAATTGGGATCCATTTTTTTAAATTAAAAAACAAAATGGGGAATACAAAATTTCCCTCCTCATTTTACCCGCACTTTTCGGACATTTTTCAAAAACTCAATTCTAGAGTCTAGAAGGCCCTCCTCTTGTTATATCATTTCTTTCCCCTTTCCTTCTCCATAAGGCCAATGAGATTTCTCTTTTTGAAAAAATGTCCGAAAAAAGCCAGACAAATTTTGGGATTTTTTTAATTCAAAAAATGGATCCCAATTCAGGCCTGCATGCAAAAACCCAGAGAGAAATCTCTCGTAATATAGTCAGAAGGCTTCATTGGCCTTTGGGAGGAGAACAATTGGGTAAGGGGGGAATGGTATACGGAGAGGGGGGAATTCTAGAGTCCAGAATTGAGATTCCCCAACCAAAGTTTTTGAAAAATTGTCCGGAAAATGCGGGAAAATTATAGGGAAGGAACTTTTTCCCGCATTTTCGTTTTAGATTCTAAAACTATATTACAATTCAGGTCTCCATGCAAAATATCAGAGAGAAATCTATAAAATCTCAGAAAGTTCTCCCCCCATACCCTTTGTATGAAAATGTGGACATTTCCCTTTAAAATTAATTATTGAGATATTACAACCTATCATAGTTGAATTCAATTCGAAGCATTCATATATTGTTGATATTGTATAATATATTTTATTTGTTAAATACGATGAAAAAGAATATTGAATACAATTAAATCATAAATCGTGCAAGAGAAATAAAATTCTGTTGTTATAGGAAAACGCCAGAAGTCCATGTTTTGAATAAATCAAATCTGTAAAAAATCTAATATCAGATGACACGATAATTACAGAAATGACAAAAAAGAAAAATTTATTTGTTTCAAAGCAAAATCAGCTTTTCCATTTAAAATTATGATATTCTACAAAAATTATATTTGGTCTGCCAATAATTTATTAAATTATTTAAATATGGACACTGTCCATTAATAGTTTATAAACAAATTTAAATGGCAATAATTTAATTTTCCACAGACCGAAGGAGTTGAGTCTTTGCCACAACCTTCAATTTTCTAATCCCTATATCTGTGCAACTTGATGGCTTAAACCTTTTATATTTTAAACTTAGATTATTTGATCTACCAGAATTCAGAGTTTGAAAATATTTAAGGTCTACGACATTTGGTTGCAGAGATATTGGGATTATAAAATCAGAGTTTGTGGCAACGACTCAATTCCTTTATGGTAACATTGTCAATAAAATACAAAAAAAACCATACGTCAGACATTTCTATAGATATATAATTTTTTTTTAACCTTGGGTTTTAAATTTTTATCTGGGGTTTTCACAGGAATTCAAGGTTATGGTTTCCGGTCGGAAGTAATCCGAATTCTGTTTTCGATTTCCGTTATGGAAACTATTCCAAAACTCTAAATGATATCCGTAACCATTTTTTCTTGTCAACCATAAATCTCTGGAACGTTGTTTGGGAATTACGGACGGCTACGTAATAATTCCGAAAATAGGAAAATTACGTAACTTAGTTTTTTAGTGTTTGTTCCCCCAGTTTCCAGTTCGTAAACAGGAGAAATTTTTGGTTATGAATTTGCCCTGTATAATCCTGAAATTAAGCTTCAAGTAACATTTTCCGGTTCTTTCCATTTCAAAAATGTATTTTTTTCTCGGAAAAGTGGAAACCCTAGTTTAATTCTACCTGGAGCTGGGATCTCAATAACCTCATCAGATTCATCAACAGTCTCGTGGAAGAAGGATCTATGGGTTCCAGGTAACGGTTCTGACGATGTCAGAAAAACCTGAGTTAAAAATATTTCAAGTTTAAGAGCGTATTTAATCCAGGGAATAATTTGTCGATCAAAGTAAAAAAGTAAAAAGTAATACAAGTAAAATTACCACATTCGATTAATTAATTAACCACAAAAGTCCTGACTTTTTAAAATTGTGATATACTTTTCTGACTTCTCACAATTACTTAGAATAAGAAGAATTTCGTTTAATGACTATATTGGTTGTATTAATAAAAATTTTATGATTATCGTTTAATTAAACAGTAACATTTATCTTTTCAATTTGCTTAAGATATGAGATGACATTTTCATTTATCTTGAAAGAAATGTGTTGGTATTTTCGTCTCTGCAGTCTGCACTAGAATTCAAGTAAAATTCATTCAACCCATTTTGGTCTACGTTTTAGTAGTTTAAATGAAACTCTTTGACAAAAAAGCAGTTCAGATGAAAAGAAAAAGTTTAAAGATTAAATACTCCGTCAAATCTTTTTCTATGGGATACGATGGGTTTTCAAAATGAACTTCTGAGTTTCAGAAGATATGATTCTTAATGAAATCCGCCAACCAAAGGTTTTGTCTCTCACACCCGTTGGTTTTCAGAGAGAATTGTTTGCTTCACAAATAGAAGTTTAAAAAAATCTTTTTACTCACCGGTTGTTTTCCTCTTGTTCGCTCTGGATTTCTTACTCTACATTATTAAAAAATATTTGAAATTATATTCTTTAAAGACTTAACGTAATTTGTTTACTTTAAATAAAATCAAATAAGCAATTCTTACAATTTAGTTATCTTTTCAAATTTAGCCTGCTAATGAATGACCCTTAAAATATTTCATCCAATTTGAATTTTGATTCAGCTAATATTGTACCAAATAGTTTTCAAATCCTTATTTCAATGTTCAATAAATGTTAATTCAACATTTTATTCGTAAAACCTCTTAGTAATCTTTATTGGATTTAAAGACGCTATCTGCAAAAATCTTACATTTATCAAACAAGTTCTAATTTTAAATGGTATTTGTCAAATTTTGATGTTTTTTTATACCTTGAAGGGGGTGTTGGCGTAATTTCGAGGGACCTTCCATTAAAAGATTCACATGGTACCATTTAAACCTTTTTGGATCATCAACAACAGAGTAATTTAAATTTTTTTCTCTAAAATGGGTTTTAAATTACAAGGAAACTGCAGGAATCACGCGGTATTAAAATTTAGCTTCAAGACTCTAAGATAGAAATTTTGATATTTATAAGTAGAAAACATCATAGGAACAGAGTTATCAACTATTTCTGTGAAATATATATATGAATAATTCCGTCATCATTGATCGGTCAAAGGCTTGAAAAGAACTGTTGTGAATTGGAAACCCCACTTTCCAACTGGAAATCGCTTGAAATTATGCCTACAGTCCCTTTGAGCGGAAAATATTTGTTACTTAAAGGGAGTGTTTGTGAAAAATGAAAGGGGGTATAGGCTTCATGCGATAAAAAAGCGCTTTTGATCGCTACTAAACTTACTTCTATCTGTTACGTCTATAAGGAGAAAATTGTTAATGACGTCTCATACCGAATAACTTAGCGCCCATATTGACCATAGAGAAAATATATACAAAAATGAACGAAAAAAACGAAAAAAGACAAACCTATACGATTAGCAAACACTAGTTGAATGCCCAGTAATTTTGTCTTTTACCTATCAAGCGTTAATACTCAAAAGTGGTGCATGAAAGAACAATATACCCCAATTTAAATTGAATGCCTTAATTTAAAAGTGTATATTAACTGGGGACGTATATAAGTTTTGATTTAGAAGTTTTGAGTATTTGCGGGTTCCTTCGAATTCAATGTTATCTATTTTTTATTTCTTTCCTATGTCGACGATGATTTAGAGTTGTCAGTGGTTCAAATTTACCAAGTCCCTCATTCCCTGAAAAAGTATTGTTTAAAACAGTTGAAGGCATATCTGCAAGAAAAAGTTTAAATTAGTATAATTTTTCAAAATTCTTATTCCCCGTAGTTTGTAGATAATCTTAAATTTTTACAGGGTCATTCGTAAAATTAAGATTTTCGGCCCATTCGAATGGTTAGACTTCTTAGCCAGGGGGAGACAAAATAATGACGCAATTTAATTTAGCTGCATTAAAAAAATTTATGACACTAATAAAATTTCAAACTTTAAATACAAATGCAACTTCAAAACTGTAAGCTATGCAAAACTCTTTCGAAGCACATTTAGTTTTGAAAAATATCCCGGAAATGGGCTTTACACCATCTGAGAATTCAGTGAAGTGGTCTATGGTGCCAAATCACAAAGCTTACAACATATTTTTTGTTCTGCATAAGTGAAATATCCAACAAATACCTTATAAAATGTATATCATCAAAGAAAATATATCTTCACAATTATCTTAATTGCATAGCGTTCAGAACTTAAAGGGAATGTTCACGAAAAAATGACCGCTATTGGTTGAATTCAATTAAAACTTTGAAAAATCCTTTGATTTTTCTATTTAACAAATATAGGTTTTAAAATCAATTTAATGATTTGCGTTTGAATTCCAATTTAACTTGTATACGTTTCTGACAATTGTCTCAACACAGCAATGAATTAGATGGTTAAGTAACATCTTTGAGGATCCATTACGGATTTAACTCTCGGATTCATTTCCCTTTAATTTTGAAAGAACTCCTTTTCAGAATAGGTTTCAAAAGATGACCAGTCGAGGCTGAATTTAAAGAATTTAAGCCGCGCTTAAACTTGAGACTTGGCTCAAATATGGTTGGTTCCTTTTAAAATTGTATTCAATGTTTCAAGATTTAAGCCGGCGGTCGATTGAAACCGTTTTTGGCGAATTTGAGACGCGGCTCAAATTTATTAAATTTGGGCTCTAACCAGGTATTTGTGGCCTGCAAGTTGAATTCGTCTAACTCTAAGGTGAGGCTCACTCACCAAACGATATTTTCAAAATCAGAGCTGAAAACTTTAGAATGGTGGATGTTGAGATTAATGCTTGATCTTTTCTTTTTCTTAATATCGAGACTAGCCTAATCTTTTACTTGTATACTGAAAAGTGTAAAAAATTTAACCAATTAAGGTCGCGTATATGAGCCGATAAATTTGAATTTTGCGCGCCATTTAAATTAAATACAGAAACGGGAGGGACTCTCTAAATTTAAAAAAAATCGTTTTTTGATTTTTCTCTAATAATATATCCAAGAAAGAACGGTTTAAGAAGAAAATCAAAAGTGCGTCCATTGGATACTCAGATTAAGTAATATTGGGATTAAGGATATCTCATTCTAAAGTTTTCAGATCAGAACACTCTGTTGTGCAAGTTGTTTAACTTTTGCAAACTTTTTCAAAATTTTACAATGTGTGAAAACTTTTGTACTTTTAAACTCAATAAAAACTCTAAAATCTAAGAAGAGAAGAGAAGTGAGGGTTTATTCATGGCCTTCATATTGTCATAGCATTTCTTCCATGAATTTCTTTTAAAGTATTAATAAATAAGGTTTGTCACTCACTAACACGTTTAACTTCCTGTTTAATCCCCATTGAGTTTCAATTGTTCAACTCCGAGGAGGTCTTAAATAAATATGAAAGGTTTACACCATCAACATTTTTTATTGACACCCTTTAGAGAAGTAAGTTTGAGAATAGTGCACTAAACAAAGTTTAACCATTAATAGATCAGTAGAAATAGACCTGGGCACTTTCTTGTTTTAACTGTCTGATTTACTGTACCTTAAAGGGACTGCATGAACGATTCACAACGATACCCTTTAAGGATAAAAATAAATGAGATATCCAATTATAACTTTATAAAAAAAATTACTTTCAAATGTGGATTACTTGCTAAGAAAATTGCGAGAATTAATTGCTTTTCAATTTAAAAAAACGACGATATTTTCACATTGTTGATACGAGAAGGATTTTATGGATACTGCTGTGAAATGAGCATACCCCCTTAACTGAAACTACTTCAATATTCCCTTTAAGCACTAAACAGTTTATCAGCTCTTACACTTAAACTAATAGGTTAGTATGTAAGAAAAATTAAATTGAGAAAAATAGTTCACCATTTTTGAAACTGTTATTAAGTGAAGCGTTTAATAAAATTTGTAATTTTTCCAAATATTTAGCACTAGCGAACTCAGAGAATAAACAATGTCCATCTTTAATAAAGTCTAAAGAAGTTTTGAGTATGTGGTTTGGATAGAGGGAAATATCTGGTTTACGTCTCAGTCTATCAGTATCAAGTTTTCACGTTAAATATGTAAATATTATAATAAATATAGACAATCCACTTAGCGTATAGTCAGCCAATTTTTCAACACTTTTTGTTAGTTTTTAAACCTTTCAATTTATACTATTATACACTTTTCATATTTTGAATATACGTAAAGATATTTTCAAAGTGTATCAGTTTGTCAGAACAACTTCAAACCTTTTTAAAATACTTATTATTTTTAACATAATATTTACAAAATAATATCTTTTTAAATCAAAGTTCTTAAATTCCATCCAATATCTCTTAATAAAGGAATTTCAGACATAATTTCTAGTATACCTTCATTTCTAGAGAAGCGTGTCTGCTTTACAACATAAACTAGCTTTGGCATTTGAATAATAAATATCATATTCACCACGAGTTAGACAGTTTTCATCTCAGTTAATAAGTGCTTAGAAAGATGTTGGCCTTAGAAAAATTATTTTATATTGGGATTTCTCTAAAAAAGTGACTTGCTGATTTTTTGCAACGGAAATGTTGAGGATTTCTTAATATGAACATATGCATGAAAAGCTAATACTGACACATTTTCTAAAAAGTTGATAGATTGATATATAATAAGTTTTCTAATAGTAGTATTGATACTGTATTGTAAACCTTAACAATGATGAATCAGCCAATCTATAAATCCTATAATAGTATTCCATCAATCCAATTAGAAAGTATATCATCCTGTGGTCAAACGGAGAATATTTGATTCAAAAAGAAAATTAATGAAAAGATTTAATTATTTAACCATTATGTTCTTGTCCCAGCAAGCTTGCTGTCACTTTTGATCTCAATTTGACCCGTTAGACATAATTATGTTTTAAAAGTCATTGTCCACGAATATTTTATATAAATTTCGACTGTTAAACTAAAACCAGGGAAAATATTTTTAAAAAGTAGAAAATTAAGCAATTGATAAAAATCCAGTCTTTGTCACAAAAGATGGAAACAGCTTTTCGAAAAACAAATTTTGTTTATTTGTGTAATTTTTTTGTAAGTTCACTATATATATATCCATCCCAATTGAATTCTCGGACCAGAATAATGTTGATCAGATAAAAGTTATAGAAAGTGTCCTTGACGTTTTAATAGTTGTACTCTAAGGGCTTCTGAATAAGGTTTAAAAAATTGATTTTTTCGTTAATTTTAAATCATGCGCTACAATTATGCTTAGAACTAGAAGCCTTGCGATTTTAGTTTTAAAATGTTTCAATTTTGTCGACTATTTCATTAGTAGTCAGGGGGTTTGTCCTGTCTTGTTCTACCAACACTCTAAACTAAACCCACATCTTTGTTTGTTTAAGAATCCGAACAAGGAACCCCTTGACGTCCGATTTGTCTCAAATTTTGAAAAGGTAAATCGTTATAACCAAGAAAATGCAAATTTAGTTTCCAGCCAAAACTGGGTTCCCTAG